TTTGCCCGGTCGTTCGACAAAAATGTCGCCTGAATATTTTCTAGTCAGCTCGGTCCTTCAATTCCTACGAAAGTGCTATATATCGTGTACAGTATTCTGAACATTAAGGACGCGGAACACTATCGCGATGCTAAGCACCGATAAGTCTATCCACTTGTACATATGAGACTAGATACTGATGCTAGAGGTAAACGCTGGGAATTGTCACGACTGCTGGTGCCTTCGAATGATATATTCAATCTTGCTCCTTCGAACAGAGAAACTACGCCGTACGCCGATTAATTACGTCGGTCTTGACACATTGCGTACGAGTGTTGCATCTTCCTCAATTTGAATACATCGAGACATTATCAGTAAATACGATGTCGTCATCATACATCAATGTTTTCTTCACAATGTGAATATACTTCGAGACATTTTCAATGGAGTAAAGTAAAATTTTGAATCGTCGTCACAATTTGGATACGATTTTGGAAACATTTGGAATGAAAGTGCATTCTTCGTTCGTAGATTTATTTTAACCTTTAGTGTGGACTCTCGTCGTCATCGTGACAATTTGGATATTTCCTCAAGTATTTGCAATAAAAGTACAACTTTTTTATGCATAGACTCATATAATTCCTCTGTGGATTCTTATCATCGCAATCTTTTTATTCCTCTAATATTTTTATTTTCTAATGGAGACATCATAGAAATCTTCATCCTTCAAATACTTTTACGACATACAAATGTTTGTAATTCATACAGAATTTTCCAACATTTAAGCTTCATATTCAATTCGCTCATACATATTTTAATTGTCTACACGAAAGTCAGAAATTAATTTTTCTCTTTACTTTTCGCATACTGAGATAAATACTCCGTCAACGATACTATCACATTGTTTTTGAATATTTATTAAAACAGACGTACGTTATCTTATACAACGATTAGTTGCTTATTTATATATATCTCTCGTACACAATGTGTTAACAATTTATACGACCAACAAGCGCGACAGAGTGTAAACGTTCGGGAATTGTGGTCATATAACGATTCTGTATAAACCTCCGACTCTCTGTTCACAGTAATAGAAATTCTCGTACTTCTCGAAGCGACACGTCGATCCCACCAGCAACGCGAAAGTACCCACTTATACTTGTACATTCGAAAGCCCGTCGTACGTAGCAAAGTACTTATATCGTTCCATTGTATTCCTTTCCGTTCGAATAAGAGACCTCACATCTCTAGCGGGCGTAGCTTCGAAGAAAAAAAAAAAAAAAGAAAGAAAGAAAAGAAAAACCCGACTAAACTCTGTTCTTCGCGAAAGAAACCTAAACGCATAATCATCACGCTCCTTCCTTTGATTTACCATTAAGAGCAGAGAGGAGAAACAACGAGAGAGAGAGAGAGAGAGAGAGTGGGAGAGAAAGAATGAAAAGAGGCATAAACAATCGTTGTAACCGATCACGAGGATCGATTCTCCGAGCTCTGTGTCGCCTCGAATTTCGAGAAACCGCGAACAGAACGTTCGAACGCGACCAATGCTACCAATGGTAACACTGTCGATGGCAACACGCACTGGACGATGATCCTTCATCTTGTGACGATAATAATGGACGCGGGATAAGTATCGTCGTTGTGAAATGTTGTGACCATCTCGGGAGAGCTGTTGGTAAAGTGCCAAACGGAGTGAAGCGTTCGAACGTTCCCCTCTGCACGCACCTTTCTGTAATTCTTAAGATGGATTCAAGTATACGTTGAAATGATTAACAATAAAGTACTGAGTGTTCCTTTCTGACTGGTAGCTGCGTTTTCCTTTGCGCGTGTTCTTCTTTTTTTTTTTTTTCTTTTCTTAGTTTCCTCCTTTCTCGCGGGAAAGAAACGGCCAGTACAGACACGTTTGTGCATCTATGAAAGGTTGAAATGTAGAAAGAAAAATATATTTAGAGGATCGAACAAGTTTCTATTCAGATTCCATTAGACATAGATTTTTATTTATAAAAATACAAATTTGCATGGACATGTACAATCTATTGATAAGCAGCACTAATTCGAAATTTATCAAAGATAATATCATCAAGTGTACAAAAGATATCCGATGAAAAGTATATTTAGAGAATGATAAAGGTCTTTATTTAGATACTGATTTTATTTGTATTTATAGAAACGTAAATAAACATCCGCAAATTAGAGATATGTAGAACGTGATAATCTAATTCGAATTTTATCAAAAATATAGAAGATTTCTTGTGCTCGATGAAGTAATTTTAAACGTTAGAACGCGGTGCTTATCAAATAATTGTCATATTTTTAATGTTTCAATTAATTTTAAATATTCGCAAATAGCGATTTCAAAGTGACATTAACCATTAAAGAATTTCGAATGAGATTTCTAATGAAAAGAAATATTTGTTCAAAGTAATCGTACGAGAATATTTTAACATTGTGACATAATACCATGTCGAACGATAAGAATTCGATAATTTTTTTAGTAAACGAATCTCGAGTTGACCTCTCGAGAAATCGATGTTTTACAGAGATAATCGTGAAAGATATCATCTATATAAAAATAATGGAAATCTAAGCGTCTTAAAATCTTACGTAAAATCAAGATTGACAAACATATTGTTTCTTGATAAGATACAAGACAATATCAATGAAGAATTTGCTTAACGCTAGAACTACCAGACTGATCAAAATTTTGCACAAACATTTTTTAGAGATTTATGTGATTTCTTGTAAAATATCCAAATAACCAAAGTTAATATAATATAATGTTTTATAAATAGAATACGGATTTTTATATACTGAAAATATCGTATGCATTGAAAATTGAAATTTCAGATATCGAAAATAAATTACTTATAATTTTAAATACTGAAAAAAATTTTCATTTCCTCGATTATATTTGCAGAAATATAAAATTACAGAATTCTCTTCCATTTCATCTACCTTTTCATTTCTCTAATGCAAGTTCCTAGTCGTCAGTAATTCTAGCGTTAATTGTCTTTCAAATTTATTATCTCTCAAACACGTTCACTGAAACTCTTTGTGGAAATGTCTTTTCCTTGAATTCAAAAGGGAAAAATACATCGCGAGATCGACGAAATTTACTCGTCAAACATGTGACTCGTGTTAAGGAAACCGTGTTCCTGCAAAAATTCTCCGTGCCTGGGATACGATATCACGAAATGACAGGAACAGCCAAAGATAAAGATACATATTATTCAACCATCCCTCGGCCACGATACTGCCCATTTTTATCTCGAGAAAAATATTTGCTTTCCGCGAAAGGGATAAGATAACACTGCGTGTGAATTTCTTCATAAAATTCGCGAACATCGGAATATCGTTGTAACGTTACGACGTAGCGACGACATAATTCCAGTGTCACTCGGCAAAAAGAACATCGCGCAACGTCCGATAAAAGTTTCGATAAATGGATGGTGTATATTCATGACAGGTCGTTTAAAAACGTCAAACTGGGAATGGCTCGAGTCACTTAAACGGATATCTGACCACGGAACGTTCACTCGCCGGTGGCAAAATGCAGCCTTAAAGTTTCGACCACCAACGGCTGCCACGGTTTCGATATCTAAAAAGGTTGCCGGAACAATCGTTCCGTTGGCCAGGTACGGACGAGTCCTCGAGCTGGTTCCATTAAAAGATGAGTGCCGCTCATAAATCACGAGTAAAGCTTTTATCGGCACAATTCGGATAACATTGCTCGAGCGTCAAGACGAGGCTCATTAATCTTTTCTCAACGAAATGCATGGATCAGCTCCCGATCATAGACGATCCGCACCGGAAAATTGATGGCGATTTTATAGCAGCTGGAAAGAACTTCGAGACGAGCGCGCTGAGGCTTTTAATCCTTCCGATGAAAATTTTTACATCCACGTTGGATTGTTGGAATATTTAGCATGGGGAATATTGCAGAAAAATGACTAAAGATCGATACAATATTAAAATAATTAAAAAATCAATATAACGTGCAGTCGTTAGTATAACAAAAAAGACTGCCACGTGAAACTTACATATTTATAAAATATTGCATTACAGTAAAAATTCAATGAAAGCGTATTTTTCGTCTTGTAGTATTATCTAATTATTCAAAATGTTCTGTCGACGATATCCATTCTAAAATATTACTATAACATCAAACATTACTATCGTGACAATCAATGTGTTCATATTGTAGAAAATTTTCTTGGCGAAAGGAAATTCAAAGAATCGTAACAGCGAATACGTCGATACTATAGAATGAAGTGCTTCTTCTTTCGATAAATTGTAGAAATTTTTTATTGACAAAAGAAGATTCGTGGAGAAGTTAGAATAGAGAAGATCTTCGATTTTCTGTTCTTCAATTTTTGAGAACATTGTAACAATCAACGTGCCGATATTATAAAATAAATCTTCGATGCTTTTCGCCCTCGATGAAAAGACGGAAGAGCGTTCAAAAACTGCTTCAATTTTCTTTCAGTGCACTCGACGTACTTTCATTGACAACATTCCAAGAGAGCACACGTGACAGTCAACGCGTCAATATATTGTACAATAAATCCTCGACGCTTTCTCTCTCTACAAATATCTTTATTGACGAAAAAATGAAAATTCGAAGAAGAAAGCACCGTGACATGTCGCTCAACATGTCAATATTTTGTTGACCAGAGAAGAGTCGACGAGCGATTGAGAAAGAAAGAAAATGGAAAAGAGTCGAGGAAAATTGAGGCAACTGGATATTAACGCTGGTGTCAAAGATCAAATACATTAATCCGTTAGTTTAACAAGCAGTGCGTGCGTCAATTGTTTACTTGCTAGGGGAAGTACAAAGGCGCGCATCACTCTGGAAATCCGCGTGGCCGATCGATCGGCTTCAAGACAGAACTAACAACGTGTTCGTACGTCGGCCTCGTACGAGATAATGAAATGCATGGGCGATGAAATGGGCATGCGGACGCCTGTGTGTGCGTGCCTCGTGTAACGCTTACGTTTATATAATGCTCGACCCGGGAAAGTGAGACCATTGAATCGTCGACTGTCAAACAGGCACATCATCAACGGCAACATGAAGCTCTGTCTGTCTGTTCTTCTTGTTGCCCTCGTGGCCACCCTTCTCCACTCCATCGGTAAGAAAGCAGAGATCTAACTATCGAATCAATTCGCATGACAACACTTGACTTGACTCGAACCCTTCAAATGGGTTAATTCAAATAGTTTCGTTTCTCGAGCTTTTAATTATTGAAATTATTATACGAATGATTTTTTGATACGTTAATACAGTGATCTAAGGATCGAAATGTTTCACTCAACGCTTGAATTATGGGATTTTAAATATTGGATTTAAGAATATTTGAGGAATATTTAGGATTATTGAACATGTGCGAGTGATTTCAATAAAGTTGTTTTTCGTGTATTACTTTTATTATATAATTATCTACTATTATTATATTCACCTATTTGTTTTCTTTTTGTATCGTATATTCGTCTACATATAAAATATTTAAATTCCATATAATATCTCTTGCGTTAACTAATAACTTTTAATTTTATATCCTGCTATTGAATTCCAATAAATAGACGATTTAAAGAATCTTTGTGACATATCAGTGTCTTAGACAAATTTCTAAACGTTTGACAATTAATATCTTTCAATTTAATTTAGTTAATACAATTATATTTAAAATCTTCAAAAACAATAAAAGTAAATTGATCTTTGAAGTAGAATGAATTTTATTTGATTCAAATCTCATCGAACAAATAGTATCCACTAGTACTATCTCCAATCTTCATCGTTCAACGTTAATTGCAATCGCAGATTTTACAACGAGTACGCCATACGAAAACCGATGATAGAGTTACAAACTCTCTTTTGATCGTTGGAAGATCGAATAGTCTTCTTTCCCGCACCGTCGTGATAAATTGAAATATTCGCCTGAGCGATCTTGCTTCAACCCTTTCCTCGTTTCGTTCGGTCTACTAACCCCATGTTTCATCGCAACTTTCCCATCGATCGTAGAAAATTTCGTCACGCAATTCAATCGACCGTTTCCATTTAACAATCCTTCACAATGGCATGATAGGATGATAACGATGAATATTTTATTTCCAGAGTATACAACTGGAAACAGTATATGTCCTCGAGAGAATTGCCTCGAATCGACGAAATGCGACGACTTGATAGTTGGTCATACGTGTCCAAAATCCAGTGATGCGTGTTGCAGCATAGGTGAGCATTTGTACGATTTAGTATGATTTTGAAAAAGTAATTTTTCAAAAGAGCTGTTTTCCGAGAAAAGAATTTATTGTTGTGCTTTTTAGTTATTTTATTGTAAATTTACTACTTACTACTCACACTGTGCGTGTTTTATAATAACAAGATGCTAATTAAAGTAAAATACTATTAAATAACTATTTGATGTTATTCAAATTAAATTGCACATTTCTTTAAAGTTGTAATAAATTTGATATTAAATTTATTACAACATTAATATTAAATTTGATTTCAAATTAGCTTTTTGAAATATTATTTAAAATACTGTTCCTAAAATACCAAATAAAACTCCCATAGATAGTTTCTTCTCATAATTTCCTAATAAATATAACAGGTGGATAGTTACAGAATTATACTCGAGCAGTCGAATTACTAAAAATTTCATCAATTTCATAAAAACAACGTGACAAATATTTAAAACTTTCTCTAGAAATCTTCTCGATTTAGATTTAAGCTAAAAAAAAAAAAAAACAATAAAATCGTTATGCCATGAATCATTCAGAGTAGTCAGTAAATCTGCAAGTAATGCTATAAATATACAAAACGGAGAATATTTATTTTCTCTGGCCGTCTGCTGGTAAGCAGTTCGTGAAAACGGCTTAACGTCGATTTAGTTTGAAACGTAATTTACGTATTTTCATCGTTTGCACGGGTTCTTTATTGATGTCCGCGAGCTGGTATGGAAACGACATGCTTTCGTTTATTCCCGTCACGGTATAAAATACACACAGAAGACCGATGGTAATTATGAGGCTGTAACGATAACGTAACCGTGCGTTACAACTGGATATAGCAATTTCACGCTCGCCGGTACGGCACACACGCAACACCATAATTTCTACTGTGCCAAATCGAATACTCTCGAGATTCACTTCTGCGCGCCGTGAATTTCGAACGAACACGTCGACGATTTAATTCATGCGTCACCGTGTCCGCACTTTCACGAAACATGTCGCTAGCCTCCCACTATGCCCACGTTCTTTCAGTTTATTCTTCTCAATTTTTTGTCCCCCTGTTCTCGTCTGCTTGCTTGCAATTACCTTTTCGTTGGATGTTCAAAGAAAAGAGGAATATGATAAATCGTTGTAATTTTTAATATATGTTATTATGTTACAATTTTTGTTGATTTTGTTAATCTCTTTTTTTCCTTTTAAAGGAGAAAATATTATATCCAGAGAAATTTTGTACAAAATTCATCCTTACATCTGGTACTATGACGATCAATGTTTCTTAAATGTTCAAGATCAATAATTAATTTCACTTTTCACAATCGGATCAAGTAAAAAAAAATAACTCCTATGATATATTGTGATATATTAATTTATAATATCTACTTAATTCTAATGACGTTGAGTAACCAAGACCGTTCCTTTCACAATCCTAATTAATATGATATTTCCTTGGCGTTTTCACTTCTCAGGGCCGTGTTCCAGCAGGAAAAGAATTACTCGCGCATTAGCACCGCGCGAGTACTACATTTCCAGGAAAGTTTAAAATTTTCTTCCAATTATCGAACTTTCCTCGTCAGACTCTCGGTAATTCCTAGAAATCCCTCACTTGCGTGAAGCAGCATCGACCGAATAAAATACCGATCCACTCCGCAATCCCTGCGTCCTGTTTTTACTACGTAAACTTCACGTGTACTTCACTCTGTTCGCAGTGAAATGGGAGCACAGGACTCACTGCCGGCACTTCGGCGGCGAATGCATGGACTGGTGCAGCCAAAGCCTGCGTCAAACGGTCGTCGATTGTCCAGCTGACAAAGTCTGCTGCACGTTGATTTAATCGATCGAGTAAGGGGTGGAAAACAGACGGCAACGAAAGTACTGTCTGGATCACGTAGTGTTCATGTGAACGATTAGTTTCGACATCAGCTGCGGCTCCTACCTGACGCGAATGCAATATCACGCGATGCGTCGCATCCGTTCCGGTTTAGAACAGTAGAAAAACCGGCTTAATTGGACATTTTACAATTGCAACGGTAAACCCGCATGTCGAATGAAAAATGGCAAACGCGCGATAATTACGAATACGCGAACCCGCGTAGATGAGGCGCACGTCCGCGTGAAATTAGTGCGAATGTTAGAAACGTTGATACTTTCGTATATTGTGAACGTTCGTGGTGATTCGATGCAATCGTTCGCAACGTGAATAATAGACTTTGATACGTGAAATCGTACGTTGGCAGAAGGAGGAAAGTATTTATGACAAATGGAGTATGACTATTTGATAGACGACGTGAAATTTATAATAATAGTTTATTTTAATAGTTTACGATTTATTGTTACTGTTTGTTGAAGAAATTCTGATAATTAATTCATTAGAGTTGTGAGGAAAATACGTAGGAACTACAGTTAAAAATTCAACATACAAGAACTTTAGATATTATTATTTTATATATATATATATATATATTATTTTAGATATATTATTTATATGTATTATATATATTATATGTATTATAATCCCAAGACAAGAAGCTAGCATACTACATTTTCTTGTATTATGTATTGTAACCTATTGTAGAGAGAATGCGTATATTATCACATCAGTATCCGTGAGCGTGGATTATTATGTATAACATGTTGACTATCATTACCGTAACGTAATTTCTCAGAAATACAGAAACGAAGAATGCAAACACATCGTCTACAGCCGCGAGGCAAACAAAATCGAACAAGTTCGAATATTTACCGTCTTCAGTCGTACGGGAGCTATCGAAAGTGTAACATTATCGTGAAATACAATCGTTTGAATACGTATTAACATTAATAGAAATAACTGGCGGGTAAAAAGTTAAATCCAACTGAAATACATGCGACATTGAAATTAAACGAAGAAAGAACATTATTCCGTGGCAAAACAATTAACAGAAGTCGTAAAGATCTCGACAATTATGGAGAAAGAAAAAATTGTAGACGATCTAATAGTTCGCGATAAACGTGCTATAATACGTACAGCGTCAAATTGCAAAGCCGCGGTTACGACAAATGGTCGACGTCTTTTTTAAAGAATTGTGAACACTTGTGAAAGCGAAGAGTCATATTCACCGATGAAAAGAAGTTTAATTTAAACACCATATCATTTTAGGGAAAGAACAACAGCTTCAACCCATGAGAGACGATGTAATGACTTGAGGCGGTATTGGTTACTAAGGTAAGATAGAAATAAAATATTACGGGTAAATTAAATAGTAAAAAGTATATTGAAATGATTGACGAACAAATTAACACGTATGCGTTATACACGAGTTTTTCTGGTAATAAGATTTTTCAACATAATACGATCGTGTGCACACCGCGAGAGCAGTAAAATAATATTTTGCAAACAACAAAATTCATGTTTTAGAATAGTCAACCAAATCTTCGGAACTTAGATATTATAGAAAATTATTGGGCGAGGGCCATATATCAAAATGGAAGACAATTCGCAAATATTGGTGAATTTGAAAAATGTGGAGGAATGGGAAGAACTAAGCCAAAAAATCATAAAAAATATAAATTTTTGCTCAAAGAAGGGCTGCCGTTATTAAATATAAAGAATTGTTTTTCACAAAATGTACTGTCATTTTGATACCGCTAAACGTTACCATATTTTTCTTTTTCTTTTTAATAATACGCAAAATATATTACTATTGTTTAATTTATGCATGTTGATAAAAGCACTATAGAAGAATGCACGTAAGAAAGATTTTGTAATTTTTAGAGTGTGTAATAAAAAATTACTATTACGATCATGTTGGTGAAATGTAGGAGCAATCCAAAAATATTTATTGAGATTAGAAAATATTTAAAATAAGACGTATATGGAATAAACGTTTACCGTTTATCTTTATTGATCGCGATTTTTCTGATAAAATAGTAATTAATGACACAACATTCTATGATCTGCGATCAATATCTAACGAACGAGCAAATCGTCTTTAAGAGTACGGAACCATCATTTCTTTATCTCTTTCTAGTAATTGATCTTTTAATACAAATAATCATCGACAAGTTTAATATCACGGAACGAATATGGGAGTTCAAGCAAGAACTTCGCTACTCTCAAGCATGTCGTATACGATCCCTGAGAGAATAGCTGTTATGTGTAAAAGATAGAACTAATATCCTATGCTAATAAAACTTAGACTGTAGTCAATTTAATAATAAACTTTTATTATCTTAATAGATATTTTTATTAATATTTTCGTACCAGCAAAGTTACGTACTATAAAAATTTAAAGAAGGAAAATGTCTTTAAGTCAAAGATCCTTCATCAACATCGTCGAAAGAAGAAACCACGAAATGCGCACACGTATATATATATATATATATATATATATACGAAATAACAAACGTCGATACACTTCCACGAATCGATCGGTGCAAAGCTGATTATCAAACGTCACATCGCTGCATAATAATCGCGTCGATATAAATCCAATCCGCGAGAGACAGCCGAGGCAGCCAAGTGAAAAGAAGCAGGAAGGACGCAAGCAAGAGAGTAAAGAGAAGCAGGAAGAAATAAGAAATGGATGGAAGGGGTACGCGTAGCCGTAGGCAATGCAGGCAGGACGTTTGACAGTGGAGGAATGCACGCACAAGGGGATTCAGAGTCGTGTTGGTCAGCCCCTCGGGGAGTCACTCGAAGAATCGCGTGCAGAAGCGAGAGGGAAGACGCCGCGGGCTTCTCCTATCGTCGGCCATCTCTGCTCGCCAGAGATAAGAAAAACCACGGGACGATGACGTATTCGTCAATGTGAATTAACTTTGTAAAATGTTGGCGCCTGAAACGAGCAACGAAACAAGAAAAACGAAGAAGGAAGAACCAGGCGCGGGCACGAGGATCGTTTGACTGGCGGGATGAATTCTTCGTCTGTATTAACGGTGGATCGAGGAGAACGCGAAGAAGCAAGAAAGAAGAGGTATGTTGCCCGAGGTGAGACACGAGGAACATGTGACACTAAATATAGAAACACGCCACGAGCGAGACCGAGGAATTCCTCGAGAAGTACACGAAATAAACATCCTGGCTTCGATAAGAGGAAGAAAAATGTTAAATGGCGGGTAGCAAGAAAATTGTAATGAAGAGAGGCGATTGGAACCGATGACCTAGGTAGATCAGATGCTGTGCTTTCTCCGGGAACAGTGTATTTCATTCGTCCGGAAACGGTCAAAGACGTGTACTACATTATGGTGATGATAGTGATACTTGAGTCGATAATGATTAGATTGCCGATGTTTATGTACATATTTATGGGATGTTTCGAGGTGTAAAAACGTACGGAATAGACAGAAATATAGAGTAGATTTCCGTTTATATTATACAAACTGGGGCAAATAATTTGTACAATAAGAGTCTACTTTCTTTTGCCAGTGATTTTTCGTCTATAAGTATTTAGATCAATAAGTCAGATACATTTACGGACATCAGCTAAAATTCGAATAAACGATGTCCATGTAATTACATAAGTGGTTCATTGAATTGTGCGTTGATTGAAATTTGGTTCATATGTATAATTAAATAAAGTGAATTCAATCAGCAACAGTCCATTTAATCAGGCATCAACTGAAACTCAAATAAATGGAGACTCCAAATGAACAAAGTTTTGCCGTATGGAATAATGAAGCTATCTCTCCATAGTTATAAAAATCAAAATTTGTGGGAACATGCATAGTCGTATTCGAACCATTTGAACTTATCTTTCTAAATGCGTACGAATAATAAAATCTAAACCAATGCAGAACTAAATACGGAGTCCATGTCATTCGAAGTTCAACACTACTAAATACTACTCCAAAGCTTAATAACTTTCACTCCAGAGTACATTACCCCCGATCAAATAGCATCAATACCAAATTCCAGCATCATCCACAAAATATCCATTTCTCACACAATCCGCACATTCTCTTCCACGCAATAAATCCCACAGATCGCCCAAAATACCTCTCTGTAACTATTCCTATCCGTATCAAGAGCCACGGAACAGAACGGAACTACGTAACAGCCGAAGAAGAAATTGGAATTATCGGGGACGAACACGCAAAGACGAAGACGAGGACGACGGAGCGAAGAGGAAGATGATGAAGAAGAGGTACACCTTGCCCGGAGCGCTGCAGGCAGATGCCAGTACGTTGGTACGTGTACTTACATATACACACGTAAGAGCCGTTTCGGTTAGCCCCGGGGGCGAAGGCGCGGAATCATGCAGCGTAGAAGAAGAAGGAGGCCTCCCTCCCGCCCTTCAGCCCCTCCTCCCCCCGGCCTCCCTCTCCTCACTCATCGTTGTGTGGAAGATGCCCCCGGGGGCAGACGCGCGGAGGTGTACCCCACCACGAAGTGTACGGCGGAGCAACGGTCGTTCCGCTGCGGGCACGGAAACGAGAGGAGATAGCGGCGAGCTTCGTGCGTCCTCTGCACCCCTGCCTGCCATCCAGCCAGCGGATCTCCGCGGGCCAGAGACGGTGGAGGGCGGAGGGCATCGACGAAGCGGAGGGATTCACAGGTGCCCCGCGGACATTCAGCGAGACAATACGCTCCGTGATGCCCGCGGCGACTTCACGACGGACCAACTCCGCTCCTCTTCTCTCGCTTCTCTTCTTCCTCTTCTCATTCCCTCTTTGCATGGAACGTTCTTCACCACGTATCGCACTTTCAGCCCCTGCCTCGCTGCTCCCTCCCCTCCTACCAGCGGTACGGTCTTGTTTTATCGTTTTAACCGCAAACGTTCGCGGTCCCCTCTCGCTCCTCTGGAACGAGCTGCCTCTTTCTATTACTGGCAAACGGATTCCGGGTCTTGGTGGATTTTTTTCAGAAATCAAATGGCTGAAGGGCAAGAGCGTGCGGATATTATGATCGTAACGTGGATTTTTGCTGATTGTCGGAATTTATTTTCGTCTAATATCAGTACAGATTTTCTAATATTTTTCTGATTTTCTTGTTTAGGGGATGAATATGTCTCGTTATGTAATCAAAAAATACACAGTGTGAAATACGAATACAATAAAATTCTAAAGAAATTTAATACAATGTGTGTGTGTGTGTGTGTGTGTGTGTGTGTGTGTG